GTTGTTGCCCTTGAATCGGTTGACAATTAAATAGCCTAACAAAGGTTTATATTAGAGAGATTTATCTTCCTTTGAAGGAATGGTTTGTAACTGTAGATGAAACTAACTTCTCTAGCCGTGAACCATTTTATGGTCCTCTTATTATGTATCATTACAACGCCTCATTCGTTCTTCGACTATGGCCATATATAACTAAAGCAAACTCTCCCTCTAAAGACCGGCAAAGGTTAATTGAATTATCCCACCCCATAACATCTCATCAGTAGGTATTTCCTTTCTCAACTGAACCAAATCATCTTTCTTCTCCGGAGCAATGATCACCAATCCTTGGGCTAAAGTCAATGTCTTGCCCATCATTGTCGTTGACCCAGCTAAATGAGATATTCTTGCATTCACCAATCCGGGATGTTCTATAATCCTATCGACATAAGACTCGCTAATGGCATGATTTATATCATAATAGTATCGCATAAATCGCCAGGTCTGAGTTTGGATATTCAATACGGCTATTCTCATAGTATTGGTATTGTTCGTCATCAATGGCAATCGGCTTAATCTTGACACATCAAATTTATCTGATTTATAAGGAACTTCATCAAAGAATCGTAAATGATCCGATTTGACTCCACCTAAAAAGAATAAGTAATCACGTTCTTCATTTTGATAATAAACACAGGAATGGTGACAGCATCGTAATTCTGCTTCTTTCAATTCGGGATTGGCAACCATGTTTTTCTTGGTGTATAATGATCCATCATCATCAGCACCAGGTTTAAGTGGGCGGTTGAAATAATCATAAGCATAAGTGGAGAATTTTTCCCATTTGCATGTGTCAAACACAAAGCGATAAAAGTCAGCAAAAAACTGATTACCTTCAGCACATCCACCTTGAATGATGAGCGATCGTTTGCTGAAATATGCTTGTACTTCGGACGGTTCTTCATAGCTGCTGGCTGCAAGACTGGGTGTGGCACCAGTTCCGGGTCCACTCACAATACCACCACCGCCACCACCTACTTGGAATGAGCCTGAACTGCCACCAACACTTGTTGGCGATCCACTCCTCTTGATAAAGTCTGCTTGCGACTGTGCATTCGCTTGCGCAAACGAGACCGGGTCATAGCTATCCACATTCAACGCACACCCTTCATCCAATCCCCTCAGGTAATCAATCATATAGTAAGCAAAGTAACCTCTTGCAGTAGGCCAATTTTCATCATTGTCAAGCACTATATCACAAGTCTTCGGATCACTACCAATTTTGGAAACCAATGCATCAGGTAAAAATGTGAAATTTGATATCGATAATGGCTCTTCTTTTGCCGTTAGATCAATCTTTAGTAAATCATTACAAGCCTTGAAATGTAGAATCCCATTGGCGTCAGCTTCATCTTCAAGATAAAACCCACCAAAGATGAATACACTAACGTTGGACAAAATGTTACTATCATTGAATAATGGGTTCGAGGATCTGGTCCTTGTTTCAAAACATGCTTCTCCATCAGTAGAGCAATCGTCGGCATCTTGATCACTAACAGCTTCGTCGCCATCTTCATCGTCATCCTCAATGACTTCATAATCATCACCTCGAGGGTGATATCTAGTGTGGTACTTGGCTGCGCCTTCCTTTGAGTAGGATCGAACAAACTCTAACACCTCCCTTTCATTTCTCCTGGGCGAGTGTCTACCATCGTCAGGTGGAGTTGAATGCCCACTTTTAGGACCGTTATCGCTTGTTCTCCTGGAAGATTTATTTTGGAGCTGAAGTATAGGAGTGATTGGTCGATTTGAAGCCGTTGGCGAAACTATTGCCGAATGAGGAGTCAACGTAGTTGGCGGCGATACAATTGAAGATGTCGTCGTATTCAACGGGTTTAATGACGTTGTAGTAGTATTAGTAGCAGTAGTAGTGGTTGCAGGTGTTGTTGGAGACGCGCCAGTGTATGATACGCCTCCAGCGGCGGCAGAATCTAACGATGTTGAACCTGACATCGGTGTTGCTGATGGGGCTGATGAATTGGCGGGATTTAGATGAGAAGTGGTATTTGTTGTATTCATTACTGGAGATACTGCCCGGCTACTTGAACCAGAACGATTATTAGTTGAATTTGACCGATTCTCACGAACCTTTTGGGAATATGTGTTTTTCAAATTGGTTCGATGAAATTTGTTTTTAATTTTGTCCATTTTGGATGAGCTGGGGGAAGATGTTGATGCAGATGACGTTCTAGTTACTGCGTCACTCAACGATGAATCGATTGAATGAGTGGTAACAATTCGTTGTAAACTTGGTGCTTGTTTTGATCGCCAAGCCTGGTGTTCATCAAACTTGGTTTCTCGTTGTGGCAGTTGTCGGTGCTGTTCATGTCTTTCATACTCATCATCCCGTTTCAAGTCATGATGATCTTTTGAAAAGTTGGTCTTCCTGGTATTGTTTCTTGTGACCGAAGCGCTAGCCGAATGGTCACTTGGGCTTGACTTATGAGATGCGTCAGAAAAAGCTGGTGGCAGTGATTGTTTTTGATTGTCAAAAGGCCGACTGAACTCTCCCCCGACACTGATTTTTTCACCGCGTTCATTGGGTGGCTGATATATATTGGAACATACTCCCATCCCTATTTTACCAAGAGCAGTATTCATTTTGTTTGGTTCTAGTCTAATTTTGATGAACTTCAAATTGGACGAGTCAATAATGTATCCATCCTCATTTATGACTATTTTCTTGTTGATAATCCATCGATCGATATCCGCGTGGTACTTTACGGATAAATTTTGGATTTGAAATCCACCGTAGAAAAAATAGTGTTTTGCTGTGATTTGTGTTGACAGCATGGAAAGTAGATGACCGGGGAAATCTTTTGAATTCGTAGTGTTGATAAAAGTTACTGTTCCTCGTATGGCATTATAGGCAACAAAGTGAGGATATGGGTGTAGGAAAGGTGTGGTTAACATTTTCGAATCAACAAATGGGGGCACTTTGTAGGGAAAATGAACAGAAACTTTGTTAATGTCGACATCCAGTGGTAGGCCAACGTGGTGGAAAGTTGACGATTTAGTGGTGCTCAATCCACCAAATACATAGGTCACATCACCCACCACGAATGAATTCTGAAAACAAAGTTTGGGTACGTCTGACATTAGCCGTAGTTGTTTTTTGTCACTTCTGAACGGGTTGGGAATATTCAATGAAATCTTAGGGATGGTGATATACCCTGAATAAGCATCAATTTTCTCATCCTGTTTCAGAATAAAACTTTGTCTTCTTTCTCTTGTTTGTTCTGAAACCTCACTTGAAGCATTGGATGTAGATACACTAGAATCTTTTCTTCCGTACGCAGAATGCTCTATTTCATTTAAGTGACATATGGGGTTGAAGTTGTACTGAAGATCGCCATTATCATAATCCAATTCTATCTTTGTTGACCTATCGTTAGCTAATCCATATCGAAGCAAACTGTAAGGGACAGAATATCCATTAATCCAACCGTTGGACTCGTTGTTTTCTGCAAAAAACTGTTCTTCCCTTGCCTTTGTCTCCAGATTACTATTGAACCGTGGTAAGCTTGTTGTTGTCTCGAGTTCATGCAAGTCAAGGGTAAAGTGTTGCGTCTCCTGTGGCTTGTAATGACCTGGAGCTTGTGTTGACGTGCTCGGTGAAACTGGGTATGATTTTACATCTTCCAAAGATTCTGGTCTGGTAAATGATTCCAAAGACGAAGTACTATGTCTAGGCTGTTGTGACATCTTTTGTGAATATTTTACCCAATGGTGAAGAGGGTTATGAATTCTTGGTTTGTCTTTTTTTTCCTTTCCTTTCTTTTCTTTTTCCTTTGTTCTCTTTGAAAATGACAATATGGTAGGGCACTGTTCAAAAAGTGAAGCTAAGTCGAAATTGATTAGGAGGGTGTCTGTGTATATAGAATGATGTTGTATACTAAATGTCTATCTGGTTTTGGGAAAAGAGCCAAGTTTGCGTGTAATGCGAACAAAATAGTAAGTTTTAGAGTTAATCACGTGATAAGCTGAAACTACAAAATTGTATTAGAGCAGACCATTTGGAAGTTAATGCCTTTCCGATGGTTGTTACTGAAAGAAATAGTAAAATAGGTATAGTTGAGATGGATTAGTTTAGCTAGTTTCGGAACTATTAGACCTGATATGTTGCCATCACATGCAAAAAAATTTGATCCATATATTGTTTACTGACTTTTGCTTAGGTTCAAAAAGTAGTAGACCAAGTAGATGAAATACAAACTAAGCTAATCATCAACGTATGTATCTTCATTTGTTCTTGATGTTGTTTTAAAAGAATCTGCATTTTGTTTGTCTGTCTGTTTCTTTTTTGCAATTGGTTGGATTATCATAGTGTCCTCTTTATTTTACTTTTTTATCTCCGGTTTTAGGCTTTCTCATTGTATGCCCCCCTCCTCTTTAGTTCCTTAATTAGTAAACTTATTAATAGAACTTTAAATAAATAAAAAAAATAAAAGAAAAAGGAAAAGCGAAACCTAACTAACACACGAGAATCATTGATAGCACTTCTATAATAGAAAAATATCTACAGATAACGAATAAGATAGAGATCTAGGAAGCCACAGCAAGCAAGAGCTATAACCAGTCCCAAATGGCAGTAACTTCAAAGCAAGCAGATTATTCGGGTGCCATTGATGACGACGATAAAGTCGATGATTTCACACATGATCTTGAACAAATAGGCCGATTATCGTTTCTTGAAAATATCAACCTACTCAGCCTACCTAGTCTACCTAGTTTATCCAATCTTCCTAATCTTTCCAACCTACCCAACTTGCCAAACCTTGACAAATTTGACACCGGTTATTCTGACGTGCTAGATTCCTTGACTGCTCTTATACACCAGGCGGTAACACTACCTGATGACACTAGTGATGCCGAAGATAATGAACTGTTAAAAGATGATAATGGTGATGATGCAATAGCAACTGGTAACGATTCAGAAAGTGGTTTAGGGTTAGATGTCACTATGCTCACTGAGATGATAGCTCGAGGACAAGCTAATATAGCCAGTCTAATCAAGCAGATAACGACCCTGAGAAAAGAAGATGAAGAATCTGTTGTAAATGAATCTATTGAAGAAAATGAACTACCAAACCGTGATATTGAAATAGAGTCTTTAGGTGAGGAGGAAGTTCGGCGCTTGACAGAGTTAGATACAATTGAAGACTTCAAAAGAGAAGAAATTCTTCGGGCTAGAATTAAATCAATACAGAGCTTGGATATCAATCAAGAGTCCAAAAACAAGTTGGTGACAAGATTAATGATGGGTAATTACTACAAATACATTAGTGCACAACTTAAAGAAGAAAAAGAGAAATTATCTCAATTAGGGTTTCAAAAGCAAGTGACGGATGAAGAGTCAAGGTATTTCAGTGATGGAACCGAAAGGACCACGGAGGGGGTTCAAAGTATCGATACCCATATAAACGAAGCTGACGACGATGAGGATGTATTTACTGACGACGATGAGGTGGTGATTTCCGAAGAGGATCAAATGCCATCGTACTTTGATAGTGCTAAAGGCATACTTGGATGTCGGCACTACCAACACAATTGTAAGTTGGAGTGTCCCACTTGTCATAAATGGTTTTGTTGTCCATCTTGTCACGACGAGGTAATCAAAGACCACAAAATGGTGCGTAATAAAGTGAAACATATCTTGTGTATGCATTGCCAAACGCCACAAGTGCCTGATAATAACTACTGCATCAACTGTGAACAAGAGTTGGCCAATTATTTTTGCAACAAGTGTATTCTTTATGATGATGATGTCAACAAGGATATTTATCATTGTGACAAGTGTGGTATATGTCGATTGGGTCTTGGGTTAGATAAAGATTATTTCCATTGTGATGTGTGCAATATTTGTCTTTCAATTGATTTAAAAGATAAACACAAGTGTGTGTCTAATACTACGCATTGCAATTGTGCCATTTGCCATGAATACTTATTCACGTCAGTGGAAAAAGTTGTGTTTATGAAATGTGGCCATTCTATTCATCAGCATTGTTTTAAAGAGTTGACCAAACATTCATATAAATGTCCATTGTGCAAAAAGACAATCATCAATGTTGACCAACAATTTCGTATATTGGCACAGGAAATCGACCAAAGTCCAATGCCGCATCCGTATAATGAGTGGCGGTGCATCATTAGTTGCAACGATTGCAAAGGTAAATCAAATGTGGCGTATCATGTGCTTGGGTTAAAGTGCAAGTATTGCAAAAGTTTCAATACTAATCAGTTGCAATTGAGAAAACCAGGTGAAGAAGTAGTGGAATTGGGTGCGGGGGGTGGGGGTGGGGGTGATGTCGAGCATGAGCATGAACATGAGCATGAGCATGAACATATTGTTGATTTTGATGCAAACATCATGAGATTAGTTCAAACTAATCTAGAGAATAATTTTGCAATCGATTTACAGCAGTAGTTATCTGGGTAATATAGAGTTAATGTCTGTACAACTTTGTAGGAAATGTAGGAGAAAAGATAAAGAAGGGAGGGAAGAGGTACGTGTAGAGAGGGAGTTTTTCTTGTTCTTAGCGGGTTAAGATTTAGTGATGGAGTATGTTTGATACAGTCGGTGTTAAACTAAATTTAACATCTGCTCCTATCCGCAACGATCTTTTATTTTTTCTTCTTTCACATGCTAAAGAGTCAATCAAAGTTTCACCGACTTGTGCCCCTATGGGGGTATCATTAAAAGTTGTCTGATCTGGGGGGGAGGGGGGATAAGAGAGTTTGGGTTAGGGTTCAGACTAATAACAACATAAAAAGTCAAACTCAACTGCTACTGTAAAAGAAGATGGTGTTTTTGATGGTGCGTATTCTAAGCGGCTACAAAAACATTGGAGCAATAGAGATATCATTTAAAATTAGAACAAAATCCTTTAGTAAAAGCATTGTTTGAAATTGTAAGCTGTGGAAGAGAGATATCAAACTGATGCATCTAAGGTTTAAGTGACTTCTGTTCTGAAGAATATTGTGCTCTAATTTTGGCATTGTGTATCGAACTTTTGAATGCAAAACGAAGAAGAAGAAGAAGTAGTGACATTAATTTTGAATTCAAATGCCAGTCGGAGCAACTAAAGCACATAGAACAAAAGTAAGCCTTTACCCATCCAAGTATAATTCCAATTTCTGTTGAGTTACTTCAATGTCCCCAAAGAAAAAAAGTTCATAGTGTCGCACCAACAGAACCAACAGAACCAACAGAATCAAAAATCAGCCGCCCCACCAACTCTGTAAATAAAAAAAATACCCAGCAGAAAAATTAAATACGAGTTGTGGGCCAACAGAAAAATATGATACTTTCCACGCCAATATACATTATGCAACCTGTCTGGTTATATAGCGAAGTAGAACTGCAACCCTAATTGAAAATCTTTAAGTCACGCAATATGTTTATTGATCGTTCCGCGCAAATAACGTCGTAGCGGAAAGCGGAATTAACCGATTCGAGAAGTTAAAAATAAAAATAAAAATAAAAATAAAAATAAAAATAAAAATAAAAATAAAAATAAAAATAAACAAGAATTTCGCCAAACCCTCGGTCGTTTAGTATACGACCAATCTTAAGCTGAGAAAGGTAGAAACAAAAGTAGGACTTCTTGCGCTATATGCAAGGTGTTAGATAGTGCATCTGGAAGAGCAAAGCCATATTCCACATATGTCATTTTTTTAGAGAAGAAAGTTGGTAACTCCGGAATTCCATTGGGAGAGAATATCATTAACAGTAGCCCCATCTTCTATTTTCTTTTTTTTGCTTCTTGTTTTCTTTGGGTTTAGGTTTGGGTTTGGGTTTGGGGATTTGGGAAGGTTTAAATTTATGAAAAAAAATATTATTCTTTTGTGTAATAGTTGGGTGTTTGGGTGTTGTTAATAATTGAGATTAGTAGTAATAGTAATAGTAATAGTAATAGTAATAGTAGTAGCAACAGAAAAAATTAAATCCATAATCAACAATAATAAATCTAAAAAAGAAGTGTTTACCCATCTCTTGACATCGAAAGAAGAGGAAGAAGAGGAAGTAGCATAAAGACAGAAAGAGTTTTTTCACATTCAGGTCCACCACAACAGTCTTCTTTTAGACATTCTCCCCCATATTTTTAGCATTAACATTACAATTTTGGCAAATCATATCAACAGGTTTTTTCCCACTCGCCACGTGTAATTGATCTAGCCATATTCTCCAGATTAGAAACAGACACTCCCCCAAAAAAAAACAAAGACGTTCCTGGAGCACTCATTGAAAAAGGATATCGTTATCAACCTGCATTCATTAGCATAAAGTATCTTTTATTTATACAACAGTTGACTGGAGCAACATCATAATCCCCCTTTAGCATTTATACATTTCACCCCCGCCAAAAAGCCAAAAAAAAAAACTCGTATGTTTGACCATCATCATTGAGCATCTATTTAAAAAAATTATCATACCCAAACCAACAACTAAGCGAAAGAGAACTTACCGCATCATTTAGACATGAACTCAATCAAGTTAATTGTCAATTCGTTTGATAATATACTTCCCGGAAAGGGCAATTACGACATACCACCTACGAACGATGACGGTGATGACCAGCGACTGGGGAAGGAGACGGAACAAGAACAAGAGCAAGTAATGCTGGTGAATGATGATGATGGCAAGACACTAGAAGATCCAAATGCAATTAAAGGGCCATGTAGGCTTCCAGCGACTCGAGAGGAAACGCCTACTATAAGTTTGGAAGAAAAAGTGGAGCAGAATGAAGAATTGGAGGATGTCGAAGAGGGGGAGGAAGAGGAGGAGGAAGAGGAGGAAGAGGAAGTCAACCTTACTACAGAGTCCGAAAAGCATGTACCTACTCCGTCACAAACATCAGCTTACAAAAGATCGTCAATTGTGGTATTTTTCATTCAAGTGGGTAAAGTCATTTACTTTTTCCCCAATTACCTTATTATTAAACCTATTTCAATAATCATTAACCTCATCATTTTCCCATTTGTCTTGCTCAAGATATCATTGGGCTTTGGACCAAAACCAGCAAGAACAAAGCAAGACCTAACATACGATGACAAAATTGACACCTCTTTTGACAGTGATGTTGCTGATTCATTAGTTACACGTGCAACACCTCCATCATCACCAGCAACAGCATCATCATCATCATCATCATCACCCGCATCGAAATCAAAACTGACACACTTGGATTCAGACCCTGATGAATACGATGAAAAAATAGTTGAACAGATTAAACAAGAAAACCTACTAGCAAATGAAGTCAAATCACCATCATCATTTTCAAGGTACATGATTCCGCCACCACAACGATTATTCCCGTTATCAAGAAATCCTCAACGCAAAAGAAGGAAAAAAATACTTATATTAGATTTAGATGAAACTTTAATTCATTCACTTTCAAGAGGTGGACCACGAACTTTTAATCCAGCATCCAAATCAAAAATGATTGAAATTAAATTAAACAACGTATCATCATTATATTATGTTCACAAGCGACCCTATTGTGATTATTTTCTCACTCAGATTAGCCAATGGTTTGAATTACAAATCTTCACCGCTAGTGTTAAAGAATATGCTGATCCGATAATAGATTGGCTAGAAGAGGAAATTATCGATTCATTACGGAAAAAGGGCAAACGACACAAGATCCAATCTAGTTCTGATTACATCAAGCCGCATATTTTCACTAAACGGTATTACCGATCCGATTGCAGTTATCGACCTGGCGTCGGGTACATTAAGGACTTGTCACGGTACTTGCGCGATGATGAATTGAAGAATGTCATGATTTTGGATAATTCGCCTATAAGTTATGCCATGCATGAAGACAATGCTATTGGTATTGAAGGATGGATTAATGATTCTAATGATCGAGATTTGTTGAATTTGTTGCCGTTGTTGAAGAGCTTAAGTTTGTGTATTGATGTGCGATTTATTTTGGGGTTGAAAAATGGAGAGAAGTTGTTTGAAATGTAAGATGGAGAGAATATACATAGAGTTTGCTTAGTTTTATAAAAAGTTAATACACTGATTAGACTTAAATGGTGGTGCTACATTTGTAGGTGGGGATATTACAAGTATAAATGAAACCTCTCTTTTCTCTACCTAATCATAATTTTGCAACTTTATTGAAGTAAACAATTGATATCTCATTTCTGTATTTAACATTTTCCATAAATGTAAAATTTCTTTCAAAAAAATTAGGATAAAATTTTGAAGCCAAAGTAATTAAAGAGAATAAAGGATACTTGAAGTCAATGAACTCTAATATAGTGTGTTTGCTATACTTTCTCCCACTCCCCTCTCCCCCACATTCTTAAATGAGTACAAGTCCTCTCTCTAATCAAAAGAAAAACAAATTATCCAAATTCCCACGACACTTTCAATTTGATGACAGAAAGAAGAAAAAGAAGAAGAAAAAAAATTGCAGCAAATGAAAAATTATTCAAAAAAGTGAGAGAGAAAGAGAGATTGCCACTACAACAAGGTACTGTTAACTACAACTAAAACTTCTACTACTTCAACTAAATTCATTAAAAAAAAATGTTCGGAATCGGTGGAGCATCCCCTCAAATCTCATCTCAGGCCAAATTACAAGCCGCAGAGGCAGAATTAGACATGGTCACCGGCATGTTCAATGCCCTTGTGTCGCAATGTCATTCGAAATGTATAAATAAATCATACAATGAAAGTGACATTACCAAGCAGGAATCATTATGTCTTGACAGATGTGTTGCCAAGTACTTCGAGACTAATGTGCAAGTTGGTGAGAATATGCAAAAGTTGGGTCAAAGTGGACAATTTATGGGAAGAAGATAAACGTGCATGACATTGTTTTATTTAATGGTTTTTTCACCATTTGTGACGGTAAAGATGGAGGTGAAAAAGTAAAGGTGAACTTTTAGTCTCACTCTTCTTTGCTGTTTGTGTATATATTTACAAGTATATATATATCTATTTAGAAATATGATATTAAAAAAATCTTGTTAATCTAATCCAAATGCTTTGGCTAATCGTAACTTGATTCCTTCAAAACTATTCAATTTCGGCCTAACATCAAGCCAAACTTGTCCACTATTATCATCTCCATTATAAAAATCAATAACGTATTCAATCTCTTTCCCACATCGATTAATGGTCCAATCATGACGATCAAAAGGCGGTGGCTGGCCCCACACATGCAGCTTGATCCATGCTCGTGGTGTCAACTTCTTTGAATCACCTTTGAATGAAGTCAAAGTAATACCACCACACTGCTTCAATGCTTCCTGGTAATTCGAACCTTCCCACATGGTTATATGTTTCCATGCACGTTCATTGACTAAATTGTGGATAGGGACAATGACTTTCATATCTTGTGAATCAGGGTTCCAGTTTTTACGCTGCATAGCTTCGAAAAATTGTTTTTGGCTAGGGTAGATCCAGTTTTGGTGTGATGATGTGCGTGGAATAGAACTGATTTCTCGATCAGTGGGCAAGTTGATGTTGGATGTGGTTGTGTCTTGTGATGTGTTTGGAATAGTTGATGAATCGCAGGTTGTCGTCGATGAGGACTGCTGGGGTACTTCGATTGCAGAATCAGACGTTGTGACTGCCACTGATACTTTATCTAGCCATGCGGATCGACTATCATGATTTACTGGACATACTTGTGGCTCATTAGTTGAAAGTTGAGATGATGATGGCATTTGTTTTGGTTGAGCTTGTTCGACTTCCTTGGGGTTTCCACCACCTGTTAGCTTAGAAAGCCACGACTTTCTTGTGGAATGGTCTACTGGGCATTTAGGCTGTTCGTTACTGTCCGACATAACGTGAAGGCGATCTCTATCTTGCGGTAATCTACTCCGGTTGATATTTCTACCAAATCATTTTTTTTTTATTCAATTTTCGCTTAGTCAGTTGATTTCGCAGAAATTATTAGTGGATGATAAACAATATATGCATCTCATATATATATATATACATATATATTTATTCACTTTATCCGTAATCTACGTCTAAGTGAGTCCCCCTCCTCCCGCTCCGTTTATTTTTCATCACAAATATACATGCTTCTTCTCTCTCTCTCTCTCTCTAGTAGATCTTCTTCTTTTCATCAATGGAAAATTCTCCAGCACCGGCATTAACCACCAACAACAATCCACCAACAATGGACAACACTTGGAAAAATTCATATCTCAAGAAATCTCTTCTAGCATCACGTCCACCATAGCTCCAGAATTGGTTAGTAACCACATTGTACACAAACAACAAGGCCAACATGACAGCAGCAGCAAACTTGGTCTTGTAACCCACAATTATTGAAGCACAAGAAGCAATACCCACAATAATGATCAAGACTCTACCCAAGGACCATTCTGACGAAAATACAAATCCTAAAAACAAAAGAACCAATAATATTCTCCCTGCCAATAAAAAGTATTTCTTGTTATCTTGATTATTCAACATGGGCAAACCGGGCATATTCAATGACCGTTTATCTCTAATAATAGTATCGGAAAAGGCCAACACCAACCCACCAACAACCGACAAATTTCTCAAAATGAACTGAGAATCAAACAATAATCCATAAACAATACCTTGAGCAATAACAACAAAGATCAATGCAACTGTAGCAATATTGATCTTTTTTCTAGCAATCACCAATGTCGAAGCAATAGTCATGACCAACATGTTGTTGAACAAAAACACAACAGTAAACCATCTCCAGTAGTGTCTATAATTGTGCAAATAATAGACCTGTTCATTCCACTGAGAGAAAATTCTCAAAGTATCTTCGTAAAAAGTAGCCACTAAAAAGGCTCTTCCAATAGCTGGCACATATGGTTTCAATGGCTTGAATTTTTCATCAATCAAATCCTCAATTTTTTTACTATAGTGTTCAAATTGCTCCAAGGGTGATTTTGAACTGGTTATGGGGCCAATAGTATGGGGTTGTCTTGGAGGGATGTTGATGTTTGGTTGTTGTGGTTGTTGTTGATTAAATTGATTGGGAAACTGATTCGGACCACGGTATGACATTGTTGGTAGGATATATATATACAGTCTGAATCAAAAGCAGAAAGGTTAAACGTGGCAAGTAGTAGAAGTGGGCTTAGACTAAATTGTAGTAGTAGTAGAAGTAGTAGTAGAACCAGGACTAGTAGTTAAAGTAACAGTAGCCGTGTAGCGCTCTTTTTTTGATCTGACGTGTAAATTTCCTACTGTGTAGGTGCGAGGGTGAGCGTCAGTTGAAAAATTATTTCCCAAATCAGACACCAAAGAACACACAACACAATACAATTATGCAATACACACAATATTCACAATATACAAGAGAGAAGAAGGAGAAGAAGAAGAAGGAAAAAAAAATAAATATACATATATAAATATTTAATGAAAAGGACACGCAATATCTAACACACATACATTACTACTACTACTTCTACTACCACTGCCACTACCACTACCACTACTGCTAGTACTACTTCTCAGCATGTATACCAGTCCTACATCAAACAATAAGTGTCATCCCAAACATGTAATCAAAGTAATTACCAGTTTGTACACTTTCTGTTAACCTCAATTATGATCTAAACGGGTCTAAACGTCCATAATAAGCCTTTATTTTTAATGTCAAAAATAATTACCATAACAGGAAAGTGCGGATTATATTTCTTCTGTTTGTGTCAATATTGATGCTACCACATGAGTTAAAATGATAATGTCACAAGAAGTTAAATCACGCCACGTCAAAATACACGACACTGGATTTGACAGAAACTGCAAAAAGGTTAATAGGTACACCTACCTCAGTTAGTCAACAACCATAAAACGTCACTCGCTCATTATACTTTTCTGTCATATTGAATGATTATGTTACCTTTATCCTTTGGTCTCATCGGACTTACGCCAGTGTGTCTCCTTTTGTCATCGGCGATGTGTTAAGAAAAAAAGAAACGATGAGCGAAAACGGTCGTGTCATAATCATTTGTCCCTCCTGTTGGCTTATAAATATTTCCACGGTTTTCCAACATTTCCACAATTCTTCTTTTACAACCACCTATTATCACATAAATATCAAATCACAATGGCTTCAAATCCCCCAGGTCAATGCTGTACCGAAGGTACTTTCCACGAAGGTAAAGCTATCGGAACATTTAAAGATATTTACGGTTTAGATACCTATACCGTTGGTGATGATTCCGACAAGGTTATTGTCATCTTGACCGATGTTTATGGTAACCACTTCAACAATGTTATGCTCATTGCTGATGCCATTGCCAAGAATGGCTACAAAGTTTTAATTCCTGATATTTTAAAAGGTGATCCTGCTAAACAAGGTGGCGATCTTCAGGGCTGGTTGAAGAACCATAGTTTGGAAATCACTGAACCTATAGTTAATGGGTTTTTGGACAAAGTCAAGAATGAACTTAAACCAAAGTTCCTTGGTGCCATTGGATACTGTTTTGGTGCTAAATACGTTGTGAGAAACTTGACTCAATCGGGTCCTTTGGATGCTGGTGCTATTGCCCACCCTTCATTTGTAACCATTGAGGAAGTGAAAGCAATTAAAACCCCACTTATCATTTCGGCATCTGAAACTGATCCAATATTTACACCAGAGTTGAGAAAACAAACTGAAGATGCATTGGCTGATTTGGATGATGTCAGATATGAAATCACATTGTTTTCTGGAACTGTACATGGTTATGCTGTGAGAGGTGATATTTCAAATCCTATAGTAAAGTACGCCAAAGAAAAGACTTTGAATGACCAATTGTACTTTTTTTGGAGTGTTGGTCAGATCAATTCGAAGCAAGGCAAAAGCTCTTTATAAGATAGCTTAGAGAGGAGCTTTGCTTAGTGTATCTTTTGTATATTTTTGGTATTTAATTTAGACGAAACTAAAACAAAGCTTTATTTGGTTTTTGAATTACTCTAGGCATATCCTTTGTCTACTCTTTGTTTATACTCTCTCTCTCTCTCTCTCTCTCTCTCTCTCGCCCCAATTTGCAACACATTTTAAAAGTGTGGGATTAAATTGCGCGCCAAACAAAAGGTTGGGAATTAAGTCAACAGCTTTCATTCCACCCCTCACCAATGAACGAAAAGTCCCCATTGCCAATCCACAAGAAGGTGGATGAGAAAACACGCAGCTGGAAAGGATTTCATCTCATATCTGGTGTTTTGTCCCTCTTGACAATTTCAATTTACTTGTCAACCACATTTACCTTCCCAACTTGGATTATAAAATCTGAACCTGATAATCCTGATGGTCTTTGTCCAATTGTACCAAAAATAGATCCAACAAAAGACATCCATAACCCCAAGTTACTCAATTACATCTTGTATAATGACAAGTTCCACAAGCAGGAACGGGAGAAGTTGCTTGGAGCAATTCAAGTCCCCACTGAAGTGTATGATGATATGTTGAATCCAAAATCGGCTAAAAATTTAGACAAGTTACTCCAATCAGAACCAAGATGGAAGCCATTTATCAAATTTCATCAATATTTAGAGGAAACTTACCCTTTGGTACACAATCATTTGAAGATTGAAAAAATCAATCACTTGGGCTTGGTGTACACGTGGAAAGGTAATGACAAAAACAAAAAACCAATTATATTAGCAGCCCACCAAGATGTCGTCCCAGTTCAACAGGCAACATTAGACCACTGGACTTATCCACCATTTAAAGGTGGATATGATGGTAAGTACTTGTATGGAAGAGGGGTTTCTGATTGTAAAAACTTACTTATTGGGTTGTTGTCTACAATTGAATTACTTTTGGAAAAGGAAAAGTTTAAGCCCGAAAGAACCATTATATTGGCTTTTGGGTATGATGAAGAAAGTGCTGGTACAGGAGCAGCCGAAATATCAAAACATCTCTTATCACGCTATGGACCTGATTCGATTTTGCAAATCATCGATGAAGGCAACGAAGCATATGAACAAGTAGAAGGATTGAATTTGATTCTTCCTGCGACTGGAGAAAAGGGGTATCTTGACTCAGTGATTGAATTGTATACACCTGGTGGTCATTCCAGTGTGCCCCCTAAACACACGTCTATTGGAATAATGGCCCAATTAATCACCGAGATTGAAAATGATTCATTCCTGCCATTACTCACACAAGCTAACCCAATTATGGGTGAACTATTCTGTTTAGCTGAACACAGTCCTGCTTTAGACAAAACTTTGCGACGCAACATCTTAAAAGCACAAGTTGACACTAATGCCAATAAAAAAGTTGTCGAATACTTGGCAGAAAACCTCGATACCAAATACTTGATCACCACATCTCAAGCAATTGATATCATTGAAGGGGGCGTCAAGTCGAATGCATTACCTGAGCATGTGTCAATTTTGGTCAACTCAAGAATTTCAGTTGAGGAAAGTGTTGAAGATGTAGTCGACAAGTACAAACTTCATGCTGAAAACATTGCCAAAAAGTTCAGCCTTGGTCTTGTTGTGAATGGTGAAGAACTAATTGAACCAGCAAAGAATGGATACTTCAACTATTCCTTAGTTGAACCTTTGCAACCAGCACCAGTCTCGCCCATAAATGGTGAAAGCTGGAATGTCTTTGGTGGCGCTTTAAGGTACTTGTACGAAGACTTGGTTTTCCCCCAACTGAATGATACCTTTGTTGTAGCGCCATTTTTATCAACGGGAAACACCGACACCAAGTCCTATTGGGATTTGAGTAGAAACATTTATCGGTACCAACCAGGGCTCCCTAATGAAGATAGTGGTATTCATTCCGTAGATGAGAGATTGGTATTTGATGGACACTTCCATATTATCGCTTTTTACTACTATTACTTGCAACTTATCGATAAAGCTGATGATGCAAAGTTTTAAAACATTTTATACAAACTAGATTACTTTAAGTTTTTAATTTGCCAATTTAGATGCTCTTGCGTTCCCATGTTTCCTCACTTCCATATCCATCAAGTCTTTTATCCTATGACTTCCAGCTATTCCAATACTCAATACTTTTTCCAAGCTATCCAACGGCAATTTATCCTCCAATAGCAACAATGCTAATTTTTCACTTTTGCCAATGACCCCAACAGTGATGGAGCTCACATCAGTCTCTTCTAAATTGTTCAAATCTAGTAATGGCGATTGATCAAATAATCCACAACTGACACTACTTACATAATCATACATGGCAATTCCAGCATCAATTATAGCTAACGTAATTGAATTTGTTATTGCTGCAATCATTCCTCCATCTTGACTCAATACCTGTACGTTTATCGCTATATTAGTTCGAGGGTATAAATGCAATAGTATCAGTTGTTCAAAAGTTCTTTCTAGTGTAGTTTTAATTTCCACCATCCGCTTTTCCGATTTCGACCGTTTCTTTCGTTCAAAAGTGGAGAAATTGGCAATAGTTAGGTTGACTTCTAGGTTAGCACGATCCTGATTCATTTGGGCTCTACTGCTGGGTTCAATGGGCCCCTGTACTGTGCAAATAACTTTTGTGTTCCCCTGCTCAACATACGATGAGCCATCTGACGAGTTGGGATGTGTGTTGATACGGCACTCGAATCGACGAAGTTCATTCCATCTTCTACCATCTATTCTGAGACCTTCGGGCGAGTATAGTTCCATTCGAGACATTTTCCTAAAAGAGCGATGAGTTTATTTGGGTTACTATGTGGTAGTCAGAAAAGAAAGGAAGAAAAAAAAAATAAAAAAAGTGAATCCTTATATCTCCTCGCCCTACCAAATATTTTTGCAATTTAGATTATCACACACATACACTGGTTCTATATCTCTCTCTATAAACTTTTAATAAACTCACCAACACATAAGCAATTGCTTAAGAAAAAAAATAATGATGAATTGAAAAGTGAATAATCAAACGTGTTTTCTCCCAAGAATTCCAACCTATATGCATTGTATAACCAACATCCTTGTGAGACTATCCACAACACCAAAACCAACAACCCATTGAATCGCCTTGTTGTTAATAAATCAGATTTGGATAAAAAGTGGGGGAGGAAAATCAAAAACCAAATAAAGTACTGAGATGTAATCACTTTGTTAAAAGTGACAAACGTAAATGTCTGTATAAACAAACAGGATAGTAAATCCTGTTTTGCAAATATGAAAGGAACGATTACCCCTGATAGTAAGAGTTGGGGAACAAATGCCAATTTCTCAATGTCTATTTTGGATGAGATTGGTAATGCAGATTTGTAGTATAGAACCATATTATAGACTGAAAAATTGTGTCTATGGTCTATTCTTTTAATGTGGTAAAAGTATGAATTTTCAAGAAACTCCTGTCCGTATAAAAAGTACATTAACCCATTGAGCAATGCCAAAGTTGCAATCGTATAAAATATGTACTTGATATTCTGGAAATTGATCAATTTTAATACGCGCAAATTGACAATTGGTTGTGAGTTATTAGTCAAGCACAACAAGATACTTGGTATGTAGATTATAGGATATATTTTAAAATGAATTGCCAATCCAAGCCAGAACGCTGATGCAAAGATACTCCTCTTTTCAACCAAGTAGTACAACGAAAGCATTACCAATACGGTCAATATACTTTCAGACGAACCTCTTGTGCTTATAGTTATAACCATTGGATTTAAAAGCCACAATGATGATAAAACCAACTTCTTTGACTTTGTTAAATCGGTTTCCTTGGCCAACAATTTGGCAATCAAAACACCTGTCACTAAATCACCAACCATGAACATTACCTTTCCCCAACTGTACCATAAAGACCCCCAATTGTTCGGCACTAGCATCATTGCTAGTATTGGCGTGTAACGATATGTTTCTCGAAGATATGGCGATTGTCCTTCAAAGACATAGTGCGAGGCATCTGAAAACACCAAGTAGTCTATGTCGGTATATTTCACCGGCATATGTTCATCTTGATACAAGCCAAACAAGAAAAATCCTATCCGGAGCACCACTGCCAATGCAATGACACCTGATAAACTAACCATTGGAGTCGTTCTACTGCAAAGAAGGAAAACAATGAAATAAAAGTAAAGAAAAAAAACAGCACTCAAAAAATTCATTTTGCAGGAGTTTTAATATGCAATGTTACCACAGACATGTCGCTCAATCCACAAGAAGAAGTTTACAAAGAATATCTAAACTATGACTGGGCCGCCGATACAGACTTCCAACAAGGATTAACCGAGATTTTGGACTCGTATCTTACAAACATCAAAGAACAAGATCCCCTGCAAACGTCGATACCCAACCTTGACAAGATGCAACTTACAAACCAAGCCAAGCTGTTCTTTTTCTGTCAGAAAACTGGGCATATTTTGAATATAGAGGACTTTGAAGAATGGAAGTTGCACAATGGTGATAAGTTTGACAAGAATGCTAAAATTGTCGAGTTGGATGAGAGTGCAAGAGAGGATGATGATGCTACAGCCAACGATGATCCCCCTTATTCATCCAATTACCAAAACTTGGCTGAGTTGATTATGTCGGGGAAACCAGTACCGGGTATAAAAGAAATACCTCCGGTGGTTTTAACCGATCAGGGATCTGAGCCCTCAGCCGCACAGAGGAAGAAGCCGTGGGAGATAAACCAAGAGAGTTCCAATAGCTGATACGTTTTATAAAAGTCTATAAAGCCTCTTCAAAATATAATCCCATTTGCATAATCACTTTCAATACATAGGTCCTCTCTATATATCACTTTTACTGATCAATCAACGGAGCATCATAATGTACATCAAGATAATCCCAAAAGAAAGTCAAGTTCGACGGACCGGAATTGTTACACTGTAACGAATAGTCAACTCCATCTAATCTTGACCTTATAATACTGACAAACTGGCCCAACTCACAGGAAAAACCAACTCCACTGCTGCAGTTAGGGAATGGTACGACAGCGTCGTTCATAATAAATCGAACATACATCTTGTCGTTAAACTTTAATTTTTCCAAATAAGTCCTACCACCCTGTGGAAACATTTGTGCTGCATTATACGGGTTTGGAAATGGCACATGATCAATAGGCAAATCTTTTTCGGGATTAATCAATCCCATGGAAGATAAGTAAAACTCCATATCTGTATCATGAGTGAACATCACCCAAATCTTGCTCGTTGGGGATTCATCGAGTAGTAATCTCAATGAGGCTTCTACCATGGGGGATCCCACTGTTGTGCTCAAATTATTGCCCTGTCCGATAGAATAGTAATTAGTCAAGTCGTTTCTGTATCCACTCTTTATAAACTCCTCGTTGGTAAATAATGAACAAAACGGTGAAGATCCTCTCACATTTATCTCAAATGCACACCACAAGAATAATGAAGATATTTGCGCTGTCGTCAAATTCAAGCCAGGATTTTGTTGCTGCCATCTATCCAAAATGTCTTGCAAATAACTTTTATCAAACTTATCAACAATCTCATCGTTGTTGATATTGTCCAAGTTTGTACAAGCATAGCGCGGTGTTAATGAGTTGGCTCCCATTTTTGGATCCTCGTCAATAACCACATACTCCACTTGATCATCTGAATAATCATCACCTAAGAACCCACGAGCAAAAAAGTTTGCCGTTTGATAACACCTACCTGAATTTGTAGTGTAAACAGTGAAATTACCTCCATCAAACAACATGTTATACCGCTGTCTAAAATATGCCCCATGTCTAAGTGCGTTTGTTGTACCAGCAAATGTTCCCTCAGAGTTGTTTGGACTTGTCTCCTTTTCGTAATACTCATTATTTGTAACAAAATACTCATAGCCATTTAAAAATGACAAATCACCCTTGAACTGCTTGTTGTAGCTTTTGAAAGCATTCATCACTGTGTCAAAATAGGCACCATCGCCTTTCGAAGGAAATCTTTCCCCATGTCGTGAAATCATTTGGACATGTTCCACCGAGCACCCCTCGGGGATATCAGTACTTATACCATACCTCGACCCTTGTTTGTAAGGTGCAGATCCGCCGAGGAAATTGATGATTGAATATTGATCTGTAGCTGCTTGTTGTGGAGTTGCAACATCCTGAAATATAGACTGGCCCACAAGCAATAAGTTGAAGTGCAAAATTGTTGAGAAAGAAACCATAGATAGCACTATTGTACACTAGGTTTTGCACTTTGCTAAAGTTTTGCATCCATAGCTATATTTTCAAGGGCTACTATGTTAGTTATATATAGCTCGACGAGGACTTGGAAAATTATCAAATTTCAACCACACGTGGGAAGAACAATAAATACAAAGAAACATATGTATACACTTAAAATCTGACACTATTGTAAAAGTTTGCTTTTAAAGAGATACGTGTTAGTTACATGTTACCGTTATTATTTATCGAAACGATAAATACTGCAGGACCAGTCTAATTCACAAGTGCCGCTTATACCAGTTGCGATGAATAAAAGTGAACTGACAAATATCTGCTATTCTCAACCAGCAAATATGGCCTACGAGATCCACAATAATGAATGCATACTCCTCCAGAAGCTGTGTGTAACCAATCCATACATGTCTTTACGAAATGTTCATCAAACAAAGTATCAAAGCGCAAAGAAAACAAAAGAGGAAAAAAAAAAATAGAAAAAACGATATCAAACTGAATCTACTTCCTTGTATGGACTACTACTCGAACACCCATCAACTTTGTTAATGAGCCAACCAGAACCTCAAATCAAGAAAGAAGTTACTGTCAAAAATGAAAACACAAGTAATGCATTAGACAAGAATGGCTCGTCATCGCCATCGCCATCGAAATCGGAAGAATGGCAAACGATCCCATTAAAGTCATGTGGTCCCGAGGAAATCGAAGACATCAGGGTTCATCTAATGAAGTTTGCCACAAAGCAAGATGTAGATATTGTTAAAGACTTTGAGAAACCGGTGAGGCTTCATAGAAAAGATCCTAGGAATATGCAGTTTCACCTTACTCGTCAAGAATTAGAGCAAAGGAAAAGGGAGAAGGAGGAAGCAGAAAAGGAACGTCTTCAACGAGAAGCAGAAGGCACTGCTGAAGGGCAAGAAGGATCAAGCTCTGTACAAGGGCCAAATTCAGGTGCAGATCCGGAAGATTCAAGGTATAACAAAAGTCTGGCCGACATGTCACAAGTAGCCCCAGATGGTGGTGCCCGTAAGAATAAAAAGAAATTATTTAAACGAAAGACAAAGCAGATAAATCTAATGGACGAGGCCAAGAGAAAATTACGGTATGAAGAGCATTATCCATGGGTGATTGAAGACTATACTGGGAAAAATGTTTATGTTGGAAATTACGAAGCAGGTTCGACAGAACTGCAACACGTATTGTTTGTCTTTGACAAGGATGGCTTCAAAATGATACCTGCTGAAAAAGTCTACCGATTCACACCTAGAAATAGATATGCCACTTTGACATTAGAGGAAGCTGAGGCCAAAATGGAAAAAAATTCTAGTGTCCCCAGGTGGTTGATGAAACATATGGAGAACGACTCTATTGCAGAAGGTTCGCCTGATCAAAGATTTCGAAATAACTCCCCGTCGGCGAATGGCCGGGTTGTAAGCAACGGAGGTGCACAGAGCAGGCGTATGAGGACAGTGATGGGTGGTGACTCACGCTCTAATGAGGACAGAGATTCCGATCATGACGACTTAGATTTTGAGGAAGAATTTGCCGACGACGAAGAAGCTCCAATCATGGATGGAGATGAAGAGGAAAACAAGATGTCAGAGAAAAAATTAAAGAAAGATATGTTGAAAGCCTCAGCATTCAAAGCTGAACAGGAGGACGATGAAGACTATGATTTAGATGACTTGTTTGAAACTGAAAAGTCAAGAAAGGTGGATAAGGAGGGTAAGAAATTGAGAAAAGTGTTGAACAAGAGAGAAGGAGGTATTTATGATAGTGACGATGAAGAGCAAGGGATGTTGCCATACTTATCCAAATCAGACTTGGAAAGCGAAGAAGAGAGTGACAATGAGGAAAAAGTCAAGATAAAAGAGGAGCCTGAAAGTGCACCGCTTTTAGGAGAAAAACAGAAAACAGGTATGAGAAACTTTGTGGTGTCATCAATAGCCAATGGGTATGTTGTTATGAAGGCTCCAAAGAAATTTCTCTCTACCTTGCCTCCTGGTGAGTGGAACCCAAATGTCCCTAAACGTGCCAGCCCAGAGCCTTCATCTCCTAGAAAGAAAATCAAATTGCAAGAAAATGAGCCAGTAGTGACTGTTAAAAAAGAGCCTTCTCCGGTTGCCACTTCGACCCCAGGCTCCCCTGTCGACTCGAGTGCGTTGGCCAATTTAAATGATGCCGGTCCAAACAATTTATTAGTAACGGTGGATGATGTGTTGACTATCGTTAGGGATCACCCATTGACCACTAGAGAGCTCTTGGGGGGCTTAAAGAGCAGAGTTAGTGCCCATCCTGATAACAAACAGAGAATCATAGCTATTGTCAAGCAGAATTTAAAGTTAGTTGACGGAAAATTGGTGCTCAAAACTTGATCCCAATATGTCTTTATATCTATAAATTACAAATCGTTATACAATTTCGACAATTTTGTCATCATCCTCATCGCTTTCAATTGCTTCAATTTCTGCCGAGTCTGGAGCTTCGTCTCTCTGTAATAATTGGACAATTCTATCACACAACTCTCTCACGTCTTCATTCTGACTTGCTTTGTCCAACTCTCTTATAATGGAGTAGACTCGCTTCTCCCTGAAATATACTCTAGCAGGTTTGGTTGTGCATAATAAAAGCAAAGATTCTAAGTGGGTACATTGAATGCCTGTCAATGGCTCCCTCTCCTTCTCAGGTGGTAACAATTGCAATTCGTCAGGCAAATCAAATACTTCTTCTTCATCGATCTCCTCCGGCCCAGCCAATGGCAAGAGTAGGAAAGGTAGTATATTGATCTTTGGATCCGTCAATAATTTCATGTGGGCATTTGTATCGAACAATGAATTCTTTATGGTAAATGCCACACCTTCCCTTCTGATCTTATCATCATATTTTTCAGTAAAAACAAGTAATTTTGATATAGGCACAACTTTGTCATAAGCTTGTTCAGTGATGAAATACAGACGTCCTTGTTGAAATCTCGACAAATCGGCAAAGAAGTAAGCAAGATAATCAAAGTTGGCTTGAGCATTTAGCTTGTAATCGTTTCCTTTGACAAAACAATCCATGAGACAATCAATGGCCTTTGTTGAGTTGAACACCTTTTTTTGAGAGTCACTTAGTTTAACCTCAAAGTCAAAAATCTTGTTTATAGCATCATTTTTGGCCAAGTTGTTCAAAAGAATGCACATTATATCAGCGTTGGAATTTTCAAGAGTAACAATTTTGAGAACCAAAAATTGCAAATAGTCAAAATCCTCCACAATCAAATTCCGCATGATTATGTCTTCACATAAGTTAGCAAGAACGGTAGCTGATTGTCTCACTAAAGTTTTGCTATTGCTTTGGCTCAACTTTTTGAGATCCTTAATTGCTTCATAATTGTTGTAGGCAAATACTTGTTGGTGAGCCCCAGTAGAGAACCCAACAAGGTTATCCAAGGCAATTTGTACAACAGCGGGTTGTGGTGAATGAAGAAATCCAACCAATTCTTCGAGTTCAGTAGGCATGGCAATGTAGGGTGTCTTTATAGTAACTGCTCTTCACAATACTTTTGCCATTTTTTTTTTTTTTTTGATTTTGCAAATTTCGCGATGATACCATCGGTTGACTGTAGTGACGGGATAGAACCAGGTTAGAATAGATTTCGATGGTACAGTATCAATAGATTATAAGATTTGGAGAAAGGATTGAAGAGTACTCGGTCAATACCAAAATTACATAACAAACCTTACAATCTGTACCTTTTGATATCTTGACATGTTTTATTGAAAATGGATGCAAAGTATTGGGTTAGTTCTATTGCAACGCTGCAAAAGTGCTGATCTAGCCATATTCACTGCCTATACAATCCCTTCATAATCCTCGGCATTTTCAACCTTCAACCCATCTGCTTCCTCGTGTAAGTCGACCCAATGCACATTATTATAAACCTCTGGTCTGTCTGCGGTAGCTTTCTTTATAGCACCAACTTTAGAGGCGACTACAAGTACAGCTATTGCGTCAAAGCCGCCAGCGCCAGGGACAACACCTCCTATACAGCCTTCCAACTGACTGATACGATCTAACAATTGTGTTTGTACTTCTGGTTCAATTGGTACATGTGCCTGTTCTGTCATCTGTTTCAAGCCTTGTCTGATGTCTAGAAGCGATCTTGTCAAATCTGCTATCACTTCTTCATCTTGTGCATTATTAAGTCTGTCCACGGCATCCATAAACTCATTATTAGCCTTGTTCAAGTATTCATAAATTTGCTTACTTTCGGTCGGATTCTCCTTCCTCCATTGTAATACCTTTGACACCATTTTTGGAGTTTCAGAGCCTCCTTCAATATCTCCCATTAGCAACTTCACTCCTGAGGGCAATGAGCATTTGAGATGTTTAAAATCCCATTGTTTCTCAACAACCGCCTTTACTGCTTGAGGAAAATGAGTAGGATCAGTTTCCAAAACGGCAAGCACGTCGTTAACTACGCTTGGTTGGAATCGACGGTATTTGATAGACCCATATATTGCCGCTGCTACATCAAACCCAGAACCAATCTTTTTCTGAGCCAAGCAATGTGCTATTTGGGCCAAGTTGTGTAAATTATCAATGGATGATTCGCTACCGGGTTCAAAATACGACATCAAAGCGGTTGTCACCACAGAGACCAATCCCGCAGACGACCCTAATCCAGTCTTTGGCACGTCATTAATTGATAAGTCATGAAACAAGAACGATTTTTGACCGTTTGAAGATGCCTGTTTGATGGTATTATTCTGTGAATGATAACCCGGATCGGAAAATATAGTCACCTTCAAGTTGAACTTGTCCTTCGGTTGGGCATATGACAAGACAGTTTTTGCTGCAGCTTCTAAAAATGGATTCTTCTTGCCATTTACCTCTTCTATTGCTTGACTTTCATATTCTATTCTATACTTCCAGTCCCCTTCCTTGAATTGGGGTGATAGTACATGCAAGACTGAATCGTTTGAATTCACAATTCCACTTGGTTCGATTATTGCGTGCATTCGAGAAGACAAAGCCGTCACATATGCATCATAATTGGGATCTAGCACTAAATACCCCCCTGCTAGAAAGGCCTTTCCTGGAGCGCTGAATGCTTTGGCCATTGATGTGCAGTAGCTTTTACTTCTCAGAAAACTTTTACGCAACGGAAATTTTTCGCGACCAAATCCACCATTCGTAATCACCACAGAGCGGGAGAGTATACAATGTCAGACCAAGACGATGTGCTATTGAAAACGTCCAAGGTAATCGGGATCATAGGACTTGGAGACATGGGTCTCCTTTACGCTAGGAGATTTAGTGAGGCCGGTTGGAAAGTCATAGGTTGTGATCGTGAGGAGCAATTTGACCTCATGAGTCAGAAATACAAGGATGAGAAATTCTCTGTCAAGAGGAACGGTCACTTGGTGTCACGAGAAGCCGACTACATAATATACAGCGTGGAGGCAGAGAACATTGATAAGATTGCTTCCATTTACGGTCCATCTACCAAATACGGTGCGATTGTTGGGGGTCAAACGTCTTGCAAGACGCCCGAAATCGCTGCATTTGAAAAACACATGCCACATGACACCCACATCATTTCCCTACACTCATTGCATGGACCTAAAGTGAGTACTACTGGTCAGCCATTGGTGATAATTCCTCATAGAACGGATGAAGCTAATTTGCAATTTGTAAAGAGCCTTGTTTCTTGCCTTAAATCTAAGGTTGTTTTGCTAACGGCTAAGGAGCATGACCGAATTACAGCAGACACGCAAGCGGTGACACATGCTGCCTTTTTGTCCATGGGTGTTGCCTGGATGTCCTGTGATCAATTTCCGTGGGAAACCCCCAAGTGGGTTGGAGGTCTCGAAAATGCAAAAATCAATATTTCGCTTCGAATCTTTTCAAACAAATGGCATGTCTACGCAGGTTTAGCCATCACAAACCCATCAGCTCATGATCAAGTTCTCCAGTACTCCAAATCCACTACTGAGATCTTCACCTTAATGATTCAAGGCAAAAAATATGAATTGAATGATCGAATGCAAAAGGTTAAGCAATTTGTATTCAAACACATTGACGGCCACAATCTCTTGCTAGACGACAACATTTTGGAGAAGTTTTCCTTAAACAAAACTCCACCAGAGGGGAAGCAACCCAATTCGCATCTTTCGTTGTTGGCAATTGCAGACAGTTGGTACAACTTGGGAATCGTGCCCTATGATCACATAATTTGCTCAACTCCATTATTTAGAATATTCCTTGGTGTAACGGAATATCTATTTTGCACTCCCGGACTTCTAGAGGAGAGTGTAGAGGTTGCTGCCACCGATACATCATTTAGACAAGATGACTTACATTTCACCCTTGCTGCCGAGACTTGGGCAAGAATAATCAAGTTTGGAAATTTTTCGCTATACCGTGATGAATTTGAAAAGACACAGGCGTTCTTCCAGCCAATGTTTCAAGAAGCCAACACAATTGGCAACGAGATGATCAAAACTATTTTAGAAAGAGTTAAACAAAGAGAAGATCAAAATTAGACCGCATTAATTCCTCTTCAATTTATATTTACAGTGTATACACACACCCTTCACAACTGTTCATCTTTAATTACATCCATCAACCAATCTAACCCCTCGTTCAAACCTTCTCCTTTTATAGCACTTGATGCAACGATACTCCAACTTCTATCTTTCAAATCAGTTAGACTTAACGCTTGCGAAACCTCAGCAGCGGTCATAGCTCCGGGTTGATCCTGCTTGTTTGCAAACACTAACAATGCACTATCTTGCAATTCCTCTTCCTTCAACATCGTGTGTAATTCTTTGCAGGCTGTGTCAATACGGTCCTTGTCAGTAGAGTCAACAACGAAAATAATGGCTGACGTGTTACTATAATAGCACCTCCAATACGGTCTTATGGACGTCTGTCCCCCTAGATCCCAGATATTCAAGGTGATGTTTTTATATTTCAATGTTTCGACATTGAACCCTATTGTTGGTTTTGTTGTGACTACTTCTCCCATTTGCAAACGATACAATATAGTTGTTTTACCAGCACCATCTAGACCCAATATAAGGATCCTCACCTCTTTGTTCATACCCCACAACTTGCCGAAAATATTTGTAAAGCTAAATGCTTGTCCCATTGTGTTGATCCGTTTTTGCTTGAATCAGATTTTGATGCCAGTAGTTGAAAGCTGTTTTTTTCCCTTCAGTTAATTATGCTCAGTGCTAACGTAACAAAGATGAAAAGATACGGTCTCCTTAATCCAACTACAGAAGTGAATCCCCTGTTGTATGGCTGATATTTTTCCAGACTTGAAGCTCAGACTCAAATCACAGATCGGATTTAACAATTGATTTTCTTTGATTGACAAGTAAAAAGTTGACACAGTACAACAAACACAGAGAGGCAAAAAAAAAAGACAAAAAGTTCGGCACGTGATTTGTTTGATGCCTCTTTTGTGTGATCAAATCTGAGCATTCGATCAATAGTCATTCATTGTTGAATTAGTTTCATTACCACACTCAATTAAATATAATAAACCAACTGCTATAAATAAATACCCGATGTCTGACCACCATCCAAGAGGAATATTAAGGAATAAATCTGTGAGCGAGGACAGTGTTCACTCTCCCCCATTACCAGATAAATTGGATAGACAAGAGGTCATAAAGAATACCAAGTTGAATGCGCAGTTACATGATGACTCCTCAAGAGGTGAAGAAATCAGAGCCAAAATAGCTCAAAAGAAGAAGGAACAAGGATTGGGTGAAAATGACCAATTACCTGAACACTTGAAATGGGATGAATTGAACATCTATAAGAATGAGCAAGAAAAGAGCGCAACCATGAAGATAGATGAACCAAAGACGCCGTATGAAGGTGGATTTGATCCTGAGGGAGAGTATTACAAAGACGACGATGATGAAGAAAGCGGTACCAATTCAAAAGCTAATGGCGAGGAGATTCCAGAATTTGAATTGGGAGAAGGCGAGTATGACAAGTTGCCACAGAACGTAAGTTCTTCACTCCATGGTGGTGAAGTATACAAAGATGAAGCTGAACCTATAGAGGATCCAGAAGACAAAGAAGAGGAAAAGCCGTTAACTGCAGAAGAAAGACACAAAAAATTTGAGGAAAAGAGGAAACAGCATTATCACATGAAAGCACTTCCCTTAAAACATAAAATAGATGTACCAGATCAAGAGTAATCTATAAAACCTGACTTGTCTATTCTTATGTCTAGAAATACTTCAATTGCTACCTTATAAATATTGTCTGTAAAATTCCCACTCTGCTTTAAACAGTAAAGTATTTCAAGTTGCTAGCGTTTAAGGAACCAGCATCAGTCAACTCCTTAGCTGTCTCAGTAAAAGTTGCCTTTGCACTTGCTGCATCAGCACCTTTCAATTTGGATGCAACCTCGCCCAATTGAATGTCGGAAAATTTCTCAATGAGCAAGTCGACATCGGCGTCAATATCTGCAGATTTACCAGCATCACCAAAGTAATCAACGTCCTTAACAGCAGCTCTAATGTTTCTCTTGTTCTTCTTTTTAGCAGCCTTGGCAGCCTCCTTAGCCTTCTTTGAGTCTGCCTTTGCAGCTGCTGCTTCTTCGGTAGCTTTCTTTGCAGCTGCTTCTTCTGCGGCCTTTTTAGCTGCTGCTTCCTCTGCTGCCTTACGAGAATCAGCTTCTTTGTCCCATTTCTTAGCAGCTTTCTCCTTCTTAGCTTGTTCTTTAAACAACTTGATTCTTGGATCTTCACTATGAGCTCTTTCAACTAAGTCGATTATTCTCTTGTTATCTTCTTGTTTAAACTTCTTTCTTGATGCTATGTTTTTACGCTCAATATAACGCTTGTGGTCACGGTTGGCTGTGTCATCTGGAACATCTTCATCCTTAAATTCAAATGTCTTCCATGAGTCAAATTTACCCCAGAAATTATAGAAAGCATCAACTTCTTCCTTCGAGGCATCTAAACCACCCAATAAAGGGACAGGTTGCTTGTTTGAAAACCTACTTTCGCTTTCAAAGATTGGACCCCAAACTTCGAAAAAGTCGTACTTGCTCTTTGGCGAAGGCGGTTTTGGATCCTTTTCAGTGTCAACCGAATCATATTGCTTTCTTTTTGTTGGATCTAACATGACCTCAAAAGCCTTTTGAATAATTTTGAAAAATGAATCGTGTTCCAATCCACCGCTAGCAGATTTCTTATCAGGATGATGCTTCAACACTTGTTTTCTATGTGCCCTTCTGATTTGATCTTCATTGGCTTTATATCTCAAGTGTGATAATCCCAAAACAGCATACAAGTCAGCTGTTTTCCATTCTCTTGGATCGTGTTCCAATAATTCTTCACTTTGTTCTTCGTCTCCCAAGTCTTCATCCTCGTTGGTTTCGATTTCTTTTACGTTTCTTTCAGCTTCCAACTTTTCAAATTCAGACCAAGTGTGGCCCCTAAGAGTTCTTGATGCATGTGCCAAAAAGTAACGGCCGACTGGCTCAATTGGACGACGGTTTGGAGCTGAGTACTTTCCAACGGCTTTGAAGCCATCGACACTTCCTGATGGTAATACGATCGACATTTCTTTAAAATCAGGTTATCTTGGGTATGGATGGGATCCTGCTTAATTTTTTTTTTTTTTTCAAAAATTTTCTTTCTTTTCTTTCATCTCTTTCCGCAATGCTACGCTGTGGGCGCTACCGCAATTATCTACAACGTATTGGATCCGGCAATCCACGAAAGGTATGTGGAAGAAAGGCCATTACTTTTGCTGCAACTGTAATAGAGACGTAGTTTTTAATATTGGTGACATTGATTCAGACCTACAGAGTTAGTCCTTTGTAGCTGACATATCTAAGACTTCTATAGACCCTTCATTCTTCAACTCTTTACTTTCTAACAATTCCACAAGCACCTTGTAGTTAATAGGATCTATAATACCCACAATTTCGTATTGTTTTCCATTGTTTTCAAGCTCGTCGAGATGATCAATCTTGGGTTTGATCTCATCCTCGTATGACTTTTGATAACCCTTTTTCGTTAATAATATCCTTATCTTCATTTGAGCTCTGGCTATGGGAATGATCTGTTTTTCAACCAAGAGCTTGATGGCATCCAATGCCTGCGTCTTGGTCGTCTTTGTTGGATTTAGGTGAAACTTTAACTCATTCAATGCCTTATCAATCATTGAAGGTGGGTATCTTTTTTTGGACCTAGGATTTATGCATTTGGTCGAAATGATGGTTAAAAACTCATTTTGCTTCTGTTGCAAATTAGCAGATCTCTCCTTTTCATTCAATTGAATCTCGCCCTTATTTAGAATTTCTTGGATTATGGCATCTTGGTTTGTGGTGTTGAATGCTGCTTGTAAGTCATCATTATTTGCCACTTGGCCCTTGGAAACATTGATGAAAACTTGCGGGATCTGTAGCACTTCATCGAGATCTTTTTCAACCTTCAGTCTCCAATCCTGAACCTTATTCTGATAACAAGCAATCTCGAATCTCTTCTTCCCCTTCTTCATCCTCACAAGGGAAACATTAGTGAGTTTAATTTGACTATTTGGTTGGTTGATAACAGCCATTGCTGATAAAATGATGCTTTGTAGTGGATCGTTTAATGCGAAGACCTGCAAGAGTTTGATACCGATCCACTGCTATTTTAAAAAAAAAAGGTTCATCGGATTTGAAGGTGCAGACACGACTGAGTCATATGCGCTACCTTTTACAGGGCAAAGGCTTTGAGGATGTGCTTGAAATTATCTCAAGTCTACGTTTCTGAGCATATCAGCTTGTCTTACTGTAAGCGCTTTGTTAATTACACTAACCTAGTACCAA